TGTTATACATGATGGAAAGCAAAGAAATACGCATTGGATGTCATTGTAGAAAAGCTTCAAATCTATTAATTGTCGCAAGACAGAAGATGATCATGGAACTTTTAAAATAAAGAGATTGATTATCCTTTTTTTTGCCCTGGTATTTATAATGTTCATGGAAAATGTATTTTCAGATACATAATTTCAAACAATGATATATACATTTTATTCTGTTAAAAATACAGGAGCTTTTTTACAAGAATAGCACAAATGTTTTATTCAAACATACAAAACCTGGCACACATGTTCCACAATTTATCAAAACATCAACTTCACTGACAATTTTAGAATATTTAAAATGTTCATGCTGTACTGTGTAAGGACAACAAGCGAACACACATGAAGCAATACAACATGGGTTAACAGTGAACAGTAACACATTAGAATCTATATTACAGTCAAGGTCGTGACAAGATAACTAAGAAGCTAAAAAAAAAAAAACTCAAACAAAAATGTACTATAAATATTCCCTAAAGTAGTAGAACACATACAGTTGAAGTCGGAAGTTTACATACACTAAGTTTACTGTGTCTTTAAACAGCTTGGAAAAATCCAGAAAATGATGTCATGGCTTTAGAAGCTTCCGATAGGCTAATTGACATCATTTGAGTCAATTGGAGGTGTACCTGTGGATGTATTTCAAGGCCTACCTTCAAACTCAGTGCCTCTTTGCTTGACATCATGGGAAAATCAAAAGAAATCAGCCAAGACCTCAGAAATGTTTTTGTAGACCTCCACAAGTCTGGTTCATCCTTGGGAGCAATTTCCAAACGCCTGAAGGTACCACGTTCATCTGTACAAACAATAGTATGCAAGTATAAACACCATGGGACCACGCAGCCGTCATACCGCTCAGGAAGGAGACGCGTTCTGTCTCCTAGAGATGAACATACTTTGGTGCGAAAAGTGCAAATCAATCCCAGAACAACAGCAAAGGACCTTGTGAAGATGCTGGAGGAATCAGGTACAAAAGTATCTATATCCACAGTAAAACGAGTCCTATGTCGACATAACCTGAAAGGCCGCTCAGCAAGGAAGAAGCCACTGCTCCAAAACCACCATAAAAAAGCCAGACTACAGTTTGCAACTGCACATGGGGACAAAGATCGTACTTTTTGGAGAAATGTCCTTTGGTCTGATGAAACAAAAATAGAACTGTTCGGCCATAATGACCATCGTTATGTTTGGAGGAAAAAGGGGATAGCATGCAAGCCAAAGAACACTATCCCAACCATGAAGCACGGGGGTGGCAGCATCATGCTGTGGGGGTGCTTTGCTGCAGGAGGGACTGGTGCACTTCACAAAATAGATGGCATCATGAGGAAGGACAATTACAGTGGGGAAAAAAGGTATTTAGTCAGCCACCAATTGTGCAAGTTCTCCCACTTAAAAAGATGAGAGAAGCCTGTAATTTTCATCATAGGTACACGTCAACTATGAATGAATTTATTTGCAAATTATGGTGGAAAATAAGTATTTGGTCACCTACAAACAAGCAAGATTTCTGGCTCTCACAGACCTGTAACTTCTTCTTTAAGAGGCTCCTCTGTCCTCCACTCGTTACCTGTATTAATGGCACCTGTTTGAACTTGTTATCAGTATAAAAGACACCTGTCCACAACCTCAAACAGTCACACTCCAAACTCCACTATGGCTCTCTGCAGAGAGCTGGGACCAAAGTAACAAAGCCTACCATCAGTAACACACTACGCCGCCAGGGACTCAAATCCTTCAGTGCCAGACGTGTCCCCCTGCTTAAGCCAGTACATGTCCAGGCCCGTCTGAAGTTTGCTAGAGTGCATTTGGATGATCCAGAAGAGGATTGGGAGAATGTCATATGGTCAGATGAAACCAAAATAGAACTTTTTGGTAAAAACTCAACTCGTCGTGTTTGGAGGACAAAGAATGCTGAGTTGCATCCAAAGAACACCATACCTACTGTGAAGCATGGGGGTGGAAACATCATGCTTTGGGGCTGTTTTTCTGCAAAGGGACCAGGACGACTGATCCGTGTAAAGGAAATAATGAATGGGGCCATGTATCGTGAGATTTTGAGTGAAAACCTCCTTCCATCAGCAAGGGCATTGAAGATGAAACGTGGCTGGGTCTTTCAGCATGACAATGATCCCAAACACACCGCCCGGGCAACGAAGGAGTGGCTTCGGAAGAAGCATTTCAAGGTCCTGGAGTGGCCTAGCCAGTCTCCAGATCTCAACCCCATAGAAAATCTTTGGAGGGAGTTGAAAGTCCGTGTTGCCCAGCGACAGCCCCAAAACATCACTGCTCTAGAGGAGATCTGCATGGAGGAATGGGCCAAAATACCAGCAACAGTGTGTGAAGACTTACAGAAAACGTTTGACCTGTGTCATTGCCAACAAAGGGTATATAATAGGGGTGTAACGATCCATCTACTACATCGATGTAGCGATTTATATTCTTATGATCCAACTACATCGATCTGTGCTCGGCGAGTTGGCCTTTTGGACAACATATATCAATCTAACATCGTTTTAAAATGTAATAAATCGATTGTATCGATACTAGGAAATAACCCATTGGATTTAAGCACGTCAGACTTTATATGAATGTTTTTTCTTAGCACTTTTAATTATAAAGGCTTTAAACATTACTCGATTCAGTCTGCCTATCCGTGACGTCATGCCCCCGCGCCAGCAGCAGCGCAAAGGCGCAAAGACAACAAAACATAGCATGGCGGACGACAGAGGAGAAGCCGACGAGCGGAAATTATCAAGCCACCATTGCGGTCCTTACAAGAAACAGGAATCTATATAACAAAGTATTGAGAAACTTTTGTTATTGACCAAATACTTATTTTCCACCATAATTTGCAAATAAATTCATTAAAAATCCTACAATGTGATTTTCTTTTCTCATTTTGTCTGTCATAGTTGACGTGTACCTATGATGAAAATTACAGGCCTCTCTCATCTTTTTAAGTGGGAGAACTTGCACAATTGGTGGCTGACTAAATACTTTTTTTCCCCACTGTATGTGGATATATTGAAGCAACATCTCAAGACATCAGTCAGGAAGTTAAATCTTGGTCGCAAATGGATCTTACAAATGGACAATGACCCCAAGCATACTTCCAAAGTTGTGGCAAAATGGCTTAAGGACAACAAAGTCAAGGTATTGGAGTGGCCATCACAAAGCCCTGACCTCAATCCTATAGAAAATGTGTGGGCAGAACTGAAAAAGTTTGTGCGAGCAAGGACGCCTACAAACCTGACTCAGTTACATCAGCTCTGTCAGGAGGAATGGGCCAAAATTCACTCAACTTATTGTGGGAAGTAGGCTACAGGGGCCTCATTTATCAAAGGCTCATGTGCACAAAAAAGAGGCTTATTGTTTGTTTGGGGAAAATGGGAGGTGTTTGATGCACAGGAATTATAATGATGGTAGGCTAATAAAAATATTCAAACATAGGCCTAATGATAAAACAGATGCTTTTGCCATTGGTAAGGAGAATGCATAGCAGCATGTCGTCTGTGTTTATTTTACTTTTATTATATAGGCCGAAATCATAATCATAATACAGGACGTCTCCTTTTCTGACATAACTGGCTTAAATTATTTGCACTACACAACAAATAGTAGGCTACCATTTATCAATCGCTAATTCAATAGCCAAGCATCTGCGAAAGTAAATAGACCGGTAGCCTTGATATGTGACAGTAGGCTATGGGTAGGCTACAGTATTGCAGTGCAATAGGATTAGGAGTGTGACATCATAGCCTATTTAATTTATTGACCTATACCAAGGCAGGAGATAGAAACACAATCATATATTGATAAAGAAAATATAGCACATTTGAGAGAGTGATGAAAATGCATGCTAGCTGTTCCTGTACACTTCCAGTCATTGCACTAGTTCGCAATGGCTCCAGAAAGTACCTTAAACTTCCTTCAAACTGCATGCAGAGATATACAAATGGTATCCATGAGTTCATCTGACTTTGGTAAGTAGAAAAAGGGGCTTAGTTACCTAAATGTCGCACACCCATTTCATTTCAGATTCTTGCAAAGTTATTACTTACAATTGGGCGCAACTTTCAAAGGGGACGGGGGGACATGTCCCCCCCACATTCTGAAATTGCATTTTTGTCCCCCCCCCCCCCCCAGTTTTATCATTGGAATGTGATACAAAACGAGGCAACTGTGTGCTTTAGGACCATGTGGACGCCTCCGAGCGGTCGGGTAGGCTGTTTATAGAGTGTTTATCCGACTGGATAAAAAAAGAATATGTTCCCCCCCACTTCTAAAACCAAAGTTGCGCCCAATATACAGATTAGTTTGACTGGCTATAATCTAATTAGGAAGGTGTTCCTAATGTTTGGTATACTCAGTGCATCTACAGACTAGATCATATCATGCTTTTCTCTCCATTTGCACAATATATTAATACCCTAAGGGCCGGTTTCCCGGCCCCAGATTAAGCCTACACTAAAAATCACTTTCAATGGGAGATTCTCCATTGTGGACTAGGCTTCATCTGGGTCCAGGAAATTGGGCCCACATAAAGTCCTATATTATTGCACCACAAAAAACATATTGCATAGGATGTAATCTGTTAACCAGCTCCTCATTGCCCAGCCATAATACTGTAATTATTAAATAAACAATAATCTCAACTCAGTGTAAACATAAAATGTTATCAACAGCTATACTGCATGAGTAAGCCACTTATTAATGTGGTATAAAGTTGTCATGTCACTGTTTCAGTTACATAGTAAAATATTCTCAAACTTCAATCAATAAATGCACCATCGATAAATTACTTAGGAGGATATGCCTGCAGTTCAACTGGCAGTTTTGTTCAGATATGAAAAGTTGTGGTTTGTTTTTTTGCTTTTTTGAGGATTCATTTGAAAGTGTTTCAGAGTACCCAATATGAAGGCATTTTCATTCACCATGGTATAATCTGATGGCAAAGACACACGCTAGCACTCTTGGCTTTTGCTGCACGTAGAGGTGACCCCAGCCTTGGACAGGAACAGCTTTCCGCTGGGACAGACACACACTTCGTAGAGTCCCTGAGCATTTCCAGACACCCCTCCATGTCCCAGGGGGAGACTAGGCAGACGCACCGTCTCGGCATCCAGAATCACCTACACAGACAACACACAAAGGGCGGGGTCAGATGCAGAACACACCACTGCTGAAATACATACATTTACATGCCACTAGGGGACAGCATCACTGCTATTTATAAATAAAGGCCAGTGAGTAAGTCAAATAAATTTTTATTGGCCACATGCGCCGAATACAACAGGTGTAGACATTACAGTGAAATGCTTACTTACAGCCCTTACCCAACAATGCATGTACTTTTTAATAAAAAAAGTAAAATAAAACGACAACAAAAAAGTGTAAAATAAAATAACAGTAGGGAGGCTATATATACAGGGGGGTACCGGTGCAGAGTCAATGTGCGGGGGTACCGGTGCAGAATCAATATGCGGGGGCACCGGCTAGTTGAGGTAATATGTACGTGGGTAGAGTTAAAGTGACTATACATAAATAGATGGGGTGGGGGTGGGGGGGCAGTGCAAATAGTTTGGGTAGCCATGATTAGCTGTTCAGGAGTCTTATGGCTTGGGGGTAGAAGCTGTTGAGAAGTCTTTTGGACCTAGACTTGGCACTCCGGTACCGCTTGCCATGCGGTAGCAGAGAGAACAGTCTATGACTAGGGTGGCTGGAGTCTTTGACAATTTTGAGGGCCTTCCTCTGACACCGCCTGGTATAGAGGTCCTGGATGGCAGGAAGCTTGGCCCCAGTGATGTACTGGGCTGTACGCACTACCCTCTGTAGTGCCTTGCGGACGGAGGCCGAGCAGTTGCCATACCAGGCGGTGATGCAACCAGTCAGGATGCTCTCGATGGTGCAGCTGTATAATTTTTTTTGGATCTGAGGACCCATGCCAAATCTTTTCAGTCTCCTGAGGGGGAATAGGCTTTGTCTAGCCCTCTTCACGACTGTCTTGGTGTGTTTGGACCATGATAGTTCGTTGGTGATGTGGACACCAAGGAACTTGAAGCTCTCAACCTGTTCCACTACAGCCCCGTCGATGAGAATGGGGGCGTGCTCAGTCCTCTTTTTTTTCCTGTAGTCCACAATCATCTCCTTTGTCTTGGTCAAGTTGAGGGAGAGGTTGTTGTCCTGGCACCACATGGGCAGGTCTCTGACCTCCCCCCTATAGGCTGTCTCATCGTTGTCGGTGATCAGACCTACCACTGTTGTGTCATCGGCAAACTTAATGATGGTGTTAGAATCGTGCCTGGCCATGCAGTCATGAATGAACAGGGAGTACAGGAGGGGACTGAGCGCACCCCTGAGGGTCCCCCGTGTTGAGGATCAGTGTGGCAGATGTGTTGTTACCTACCCTTACCACCTGGGGGCGGCCCGTCAGGAAGTCCAGGTTCCAGTTGCAGAGGGAGGTGTTTAGTCCCAGGATCCTTAGCTTAGTGATGAGCTTTGAGGGCACTATGGTGTTGAACGCTGAGCTGTAGTCAATGAATAGCATTCTCACGTAGGTGTTCCTCTTGTCCAGGTGGGAAAGAGCAGTGTATTAGAGATTGCATCATCTGTGGATCTGTTAGGGCGGTATGCAAATTGGAGTGGGTCTAGGGCAGGGGTGTCAAACGTCCGGCCCGCGGGCCAGATCAGGCCCGCAAACGGGTTTAATCCAGTCCGGGAGATGATAAAAAAAAAAAAAAAAAAACAATTTATAATACTAATTTTGTAAAGTATAAAAATGCGCTGCAATTTTTCAATAAAATAAACTGCTGTTCCAATTGCGTCCACTGGATGGCGCAATAGCAATTGTGTTAAGCAAGCAAACTGTTTATACCGGGGCAGAGCAAGTAGGTCAAGCACGTGCAGCCAATGAGCTACTTTGTTTTGCCCGCGATATTTATTACGGCTTCTACTTTTAACATTATGTGCTTTGGCACCCTCATTTCCCCAATATGTCTCTGTCAAAAAAGAGAAAAGTGGACGCAGAGTGCAGAGTGTTCCAAGAAAAATGGTCATCCTATTTATTCACTGAATTGAATGGGAAAGCTGTATGTTTGGTGTGTTCAGAGCATGTTGCAGTGCTGAAAGAATATAACCTTCGTCGCCACTATGTGAGTCTTCATGCCGACAAATATGACAACTTTCAAGGACAGCGGAGATGAGAGAAGGTGAATGAACTGTTGGCGGGTCTGAAGAAACAGCAGTCTGTGTTTACTCACAGCCGAGACATCAGTGACGCTGCAGTGAAAGCTAGCTACCTCATTGCTAATGAAATCGCAGTGGCTTCAAAACCATTTAGTGAGGGTGAATTTGTAAAAACATGCATGATGAAGGCAGCGGAGATTGTGTGCCCTGAAAAGCGGCAGGCTTTTGCAAATATCAGCCTGACAAGAAACACAGTTGCAGACAGGATTTCCGATCTTTCAGTGGATTTGGACAGCCAGTTGAAGCAAAAAGTAAAGTCATTTATTGCGTTTTCGGTTGCAATTGATGAAAGCACGGACATTACAGATGTTGCACAACTGGCCATTTTCATCCGCGGAGTTGATGACACATTGACCGTCACCGAGGAGTTCGTGGAGTTGGTGCCGATGACAGATACAACGACAGCAGCTGATATTTTTACCGCACTCGTCGGCGCGCTGGACAGGGTCGGAGTGGACTGGTCCCGCGCTGTCAGCCTGGCTACAGATGGTGCACCCTCAATGATCGGGAAAAAAGCAGGCATTGTGACAAAGTTCAGAGAGAAAGTGCAATCTGCAAATGGAGGACGTGATTTTTTGACTTTTCACTGTATTTTGCACCAGGAGGCTTTGTGTTGCAAGTCATTAAAGATGGATAACGTCATGAAGGTGGTCATCCAAACTGTTAATTTCATCCGATCCAGAAGCCTGAATCACCGTCAGTTTGACAGCCTTCTCAGAGAGAAAGACCACATCTATGGCCTGCCATACCACACTGAGGTAAGATGGTTAAGCCGAGGTGCTGTGCTGAGGCGTTTCTTTGATTTACGAGAAGAAATTGAACAGTTCATGGAAGAAAAGGGCAAACCAGTGTTAGAATTTCATTCCGCAGAATGGATGCCGGACCTTGCATTTATGGTGGATGTTACAGAGCACCTGAATAACTTGAACAAACAGCTGCAAGGGCGCAACAAAGTTGTCACGCAGTATTATGACAGCATACGTTCTTTCAAGTTGAAGCTGTCATTGTGGGAGACGCAACTTGCCGGTGGTGATGCAGCTCACTTCCCCTGTCTGAAAAATGTGTGCGCGACCCAACATGTGGCAGACATGAAGCGGTTCAAAGATAAAATAACGGGACTGTTACGGGAGTTTGAGCAACGCTTTCAGATTTATGTTTATATGTTTTTATGTTGATGTGCTATTGTTTTTAATTGATTTTATTTTATTTGTATATTTAACCTATTCTTGACTCTATGGTTCTTGCACTTGTTTGGGGAACAGGATTTCATTATTTTTATCTACATTTCTGCCTGAGAAATGACACCCTGATATAGTTCTGTGATCTGTGAAACAGTTCTGTTAATCACTGAGGCATTGTGTGTTTGTGTGTTCTTTTTCTTTAGAATTTTCAAATAAACTTGACGTGTTTTATGATTAATAGTGATGTTGTGCTTGGACTATTTTGGACACGACGTCGTCGATGCACTTATTGATGAAGCCAGTGACTGATGTGGTGTACTCCTCAATGCTATCTGAAGAATCCCGGAACATGTTCCAGTCTGTGCTAGCAAAACAGTCCTGTAGCTTAGCATCTGCATCCAATGTACATGTCTCTGTCACATGTAGTGTAAAATGTAAGTACAGTACTGTCAGTCAATAGCAAGTAAATCACACATTGCCTCACCAGTCCTTCACTGGAGTGCAATAGAACATCCATGTTAGATGCCGCGTCGATGTTCCCGGCCAGTGCCTTGACAAAGACTCCCTTTGGTGCATCCATGCTGAGAGAGCGGGTTGGAGACTCCAGCCTGAAACACACAGGAGAACATCAGTTTGATCAGTTCCACATATGACTGACTGTGATGAAACAAGTTGCATGAAATTATGAGTTAATATTTCATATCGGCCTCTTCCAAGAGGTCAGTGATTATTAGATCCAACATCTACCTCAAGTCTTTGAAGGGCTCAGCTTTGATCAGGGGCGTCTCTACAGAGTGTTCAAACAGGGCACCTTCTGGACCTAAATAAAAACCAACACACAAGGTGCTCCTCATTAAGTTGATAGTCAATTACAATGAAACATCATTGGAGATACATATTGTAATATAATATCATATGCCATTTAGCAGACGCTTTTTCCAAAGTGACTTACAGTCATTAAATAGTGTTCTATTTAATTATGCTATGTACTGTGAGTGGTTCTACAGTTCTTGGCAGTCAATGTGGTCCTCTGTAGCTCAGCTGGTAGAGCACGGCGCTTGAAACGCAAAGGTAGTGGGTTCGATCCCCGGGACCACCCATACACAAAAATGTATGCACGCATGACTGTAAGTCGCTTTGGATAAAAGCGTCTGCTAAATGGCATATTATTTATTATTATTTAATAGTTTCCCTAGTTGCTTGTCAACTGGTGTTAGTGAGAGGATGACATATGCACAGGCTCAGAGTCACCTCCCACCACCTGGCTTGAAGGAAAGAGGGAATGTTTGCAGTGCTTTAATCACTGTGGATGACAGCTCCCTTGGCCATCTAATTACATCTTCAATACCATCAACTTTTGCCAATCGTATGTTACCATAGCATGCAAAGCTACTCACTAGACATCACACTATAGAGCCTCACTAGGTCTTAGAGTGCTATTTCAACAGTATACACATCTTTAGCTTTGTTCTGTTGGTGCATGGTTTTCTGGCCAAGGTTGTGTTAACTTCTGCTCAGGATTTCTGCTGTTGCATTATAGAGCTTCAGTGTCTTGCTAAAGTGAAATGACCGTCACCGTCCAGCGGTCCGTCAGGCTCCAGATGACCGAGATATAATGAAGCTATCAACGGGCACTCTCTTCAGCTAATTACCCCTACACAGCATGAGGGCACTGACCTCTCATCAATTCTAAAACTGGACACAACTAAGATATTTAAGGAAAATAGGCAACTTGAGCATACAGCATTAGTTAGCTTCAATTTACATTATAAATATACTTTAATTATAAATAAACTTCAATTAAAAAGCAGTGTTTGTCACCTTTCCTGTAATTTCAGATGAATGAGCTTCTGACTTTCAATACCTTTTCAAGAACAACTTTTCTGAAAAAGTCAAACTGATCCAGTCCAGTAATTATGATGTCAAATAAAAAGTAATGACTTTAATATGTAAGAAAAAACCTCAGTGATTCAGCACATTGCTCTCATTCCTTTAAAATTACAAGAAGATTAATGAAAACAATGTTTGTAAAGTGCATTCGGAAAGTATTCAGACCCCTTCACTTTTTCCACTTTGTTACGTTACAGCCTTATTGTAAAATGGATTAAATAAATATAAAATCTTTATCAATCTACACACAATACCCCATAATGACAAAGCGAAAACAGGTTTAGACATTTTTGCAAATGTGTTAAAAACAAAAAAAAACGTATTTACATAAGTATTCAGACCCTTTGCTATGAGACTCGCAGTAGAACTCAGGTGCATCCTGTTTCCATTGATCATCCTTGAGATGTTTCTACAACTTGGAGTCCACCTGTGGTAAATTCCATTGATTAGACATGATTTGGAAAGGCACACACACACACACACACACACACACACACACCTGTCTATATATGGTCCCACAGTTGACAGCGCATGTCAAAAACCAAGCCATGAGGTCGAAGGAATTGTCCGTAGAGCTCCGAGACAGGATTGTGTCGAGGCACAGATCTGGGGAAAGGTACCAAAACATTTCTGCAGCATTGAAGGTCCCCAAGAACACAGTGGCCTCCATCATTCTTAAATAGAAGAAACTTGGAACCACCAAGACTCTTCCTAGCGCTGGCCGCCCGGCCAAACTGAGCAATCGGGGGAGAATGGCCTTGGTCAGGAATGTGACCAAGAACCCAATGCTCACTCTGACAGATCTCCAGAGTTCCTCTTTGGAGATGGGAGAACTTTCCAGAAGGACAACCATCTTTGCAGCACTTCACCAATCAGGCCTTTATGGTAGAGTGACCAGACAGAAGCCACTCCTCAGTAAAAGGCACATGACAACCCGCTTGGAGTTTGCCAAAAGGCACCTAAAGGACTCAGACCATGAGAAACAACATTCTCTGGTCTGATGAAACCAAGATTGAACTCTTTGGCCTGAAAGCCAAGCGTCACGTCTAGAGGAAACCTGGCACCATCCCTACGGTGAAGCATGGTGGTGGCAGCATCATGCTGTGGGGATGTTTTTCAGTGGCAGGGACTGTGAGACTAGTCAGGATCGAGGGAAAGATGAACGGAGCAAAGTACAGAGAGATCCTTGATGAAAACTTTCTCCAGAGTGCTCAGGACCTCAGACTGGGGCAAAGGTTCACCTTCCAACAGGACAACGACCCTAAGCACACAGCCAAGACAACGCAGAAGTGGCTTCGGGACAAGTCTCTGAATGTCCTTGCTTGTAGCGTCATATCCAAGAAGACTCGAGGCTGTAATTGCTGCCAAAGGTGCTTCAACAAAGTACTGAGGAGAGGCTCTGAATACTTATGTAAATGTGATATTTCCGTTTTTTATTTTTGCAGATATTTCTAAAAACCTGTTTATGCTTTGTCATTATGGGGTATTGTGTGTAGATTGAGCAGGAGAAAAAACTATTGAATCAATTTTAGAATAAGGCTGTAACGTAACAAAACGTGGAAAAAAGTCAAGGGGTCTGAATACTTGCCGAATGCACTGTAGGTCCTATCTGGAATGCTGTATACACATGTATGGCTAAGTGGTGTGACACTGAAACTGCAGACATGATTGTACCTGTGACTCGGAGCTTGTCTGTCCCAACAACCACCTCTTTGTCGTCGGCAGAAAACAGCATCTTGGTGTTGGAGCTGATGACAAAATTCTGTGCATTTCCCTGGGCCACATCTGGACCTGAAATGACACCAGGGAGAATTATTAGAAACCAGAAGCAGTCAAAGCAGTGGGACTAGGAGACATAGGCTTAGCATAATTGAGATATCATATGCTGTATCACTAAAACATGTAAACAATGCACGCAGCTTTAACATTTGGATGAATTTTTCCACTTTGTCACCTCTAATAGGAAATAAAGCCAGGGTGCAGGTATACCTACTGTAAAACTGCCTCTGGGAAGTGAGATATTTAATACACTTCAATGCCATCTTCTTTAGAAGAACAGAACAAGATGTTCTTTCCAAACTACTTACGTCTGAGGGGGAATAGACCAAATAACTGGTCTTTAAAAGCCTTAAACTTCCTTCAGAGAGTCACATAGATAGGTCAATGCCTTTTATGGCATAACAACCAAGAATACATAACAGCCTCGTGAAACACCGTAATTCGTTTAGTCGTTTGTTACCCTTCTAATTATGGCACACTCCTCAACGAACCCCGCTGGACAGCTATAAAAAGGTGCACAAATAGTCGTCTCTGTAGGCCTGAGGGCCTTGGTGTAACAGATAGCCCATTCTGGTACTGATGATAGAAAGCTGTGTTTTGATTAAATGGGGTTTTAACATTGCTAATGTTGTATTACATACAGTACAGCTGCAGGACAAGTCCATGAATGACATTTCTGAAGTCTCCATATATCAGTAGAATAGTGCAATTTATGAACATTGCCAGCATGCTGTTTGTGTGCAAGTGTGTGTTTTCTGTCCTCTTACCTACGGATAGACTTCCTGTGACATCATTATTTTCATTGCGGGCATTGAGGGTGACGTTTTCAGATGAGTGCACCAGGAGAGAGGAGTCCTGGAAAACAAAAACTCTTGGATCATCAATGTGTGACGAGTACTGAGTATACGAAGAGGCAGGACGCAGGAATTAACAAGGTCAAGGTTTACTTAACAATGAGAAAGAGAAATAACAAACATAGAATAAACTACACAAAGCTTAACAATCACACACAACATCATCCAGAACAGTCCAGGGCTAAACAGGGGTGGTGATGAGATGATGAGGTGCAGGTTCGCTGGAGGTGATTAGGGTGCGTTGGATTTCCATTCCGGTGTTGCCGAGGTGTTGAGCTCAGACCGGTGGCTCAGTAGACCGGCGAATCAGAGTGCCGGAGGGGAGCAACAGGAGGAGACGTGACACAATGAGCACCCTGTGCACGTCATTATCAGATATCACTGGACAGGACTGTAATTGAACATGGGGCACAATCCAAAATGATGCATTGCCAATAAATGCTACAAAATGTATCGTTATGCTCACAGGTTCAAGTACCTGGTCATCACTCTTACCTTCCAGAAAACATGATTTAGTTACAATGGGCTAAAGAGATGTAGCCTATTTGGCCGACTCGTGAAAAGCAGGTTGTGTATAATGAACACTGAATCTCATTAGAAACTGTTGACTTCAGTGATGAATGTGTCAGTCTATAAATGGTGAATACATTGCCCTTTTAATGAAGCTCATAAAGATAGAGTGAGGGGACACAAAGCACAATGAGGAAAAACCATAACATGTAAACAACTGCTGCAAAGTGTTACCATCTGCTGCTGGATTGCACACCATCAACTGTTTTCCACCACAAATATTCAGGAGGTTAATAAGGAACTCGCTGCACTGTGCATCCACAGGGACTGCCAAAGCTTATTGAGTAAGACACATTTCCCAACTATGCAAGAGAGTGATATCAAAATAAACAGTATTTAATGACTATACCTCAGGAAAGTTGTTTTGATGTAATTGCCCAGCGTTCTTAACAGGAACCGCTCAACAAACTTTGATTTCTATGGTTTCCTGACAGTGAGTCAGAGCTTGGTAAGCCATACCACTTTATTCCACACAAACCTATTGGACTGGGTGTGGGTGTTTGAGGAGGAGGAGGAGGATGAGGAAGAGAAGAAGGAAGAGGAGCCTGTTTGCTTACCTCTCTGGAGAGGATCTCTTGGGCGTAGAGAGGAAAGAGGAACTCTGACTCGCCGTCCTCAAGCCTCACTCCGTCCGATGTTACTTTTAGATGTCCCATCCCTTCCTGAAATGACAAGCAGAAATAATTTTCTCAGCAATGCATCAGAGAAAAGGCATTGCACAGGGTATCCTACAAGAAATTAACTCACTAACCATAACCATAGTGTCCCCAAGGATTTTTGTGACATCATGTGTTGTTTCTAATTCTGGAGGGTGAGTGAATCTTTTTAGGTGATGGTCTCTGCTGGGTACAGTGTTGGGAGTTAACCACACTGCAGTGAATATATGATTCATAGCACCCCAGGCAATAGTGACTGATAATGATCCAATAGTATTTACATTTAGATTTTAGTCATTTAGCAGACATTCTTATCCAGAGCGGCTTACAGTTAAGTGAGTGCATACATTTTTTTCATACTGGCCCCCCGTGGGAAACGAACCCACAACCCTGGCGTTGCAAGCGCCATGCTCTACCAACTGAGCTACACGGGGCCGTGAAACAAAAGCAGAATCTCTGATTTAAATTCCATCTAATAACTACTTCTCTCAGGCTATATTCCAAAAGGATGGAGGAATCATGAAAAGTGTATATAACTAAGCTTACCTTGCTAGAGGGCAAATATTGGATTTGATTCATCCAACCAGGCAGCCATTGGATGCCAAGGATAAGAGACATGTGGCTATACCCTCCAGGACTGAGGGTAAACTCAAACTAAAGCAGCAGAGATCGATGTGTTTTCTCTGCCAATGCAGTCACTATATTCCCAGGGTGCGTTGTGTTGTTTCAGTTACTCCTAAGCCCCGTTTATACCTGGTGCTAACATGAGTCCTTTGTCCTGATCTTGTCTACTTTCTGATTGTGCCCACATTTCCAGAAATGTGTCTACACATGGTATTAAAATGTGTCTGTTATCCGTCTGCATTGTGACCAGATTTCCTGGTCTCTTCCTATATGTAAATTATTTCACAGCTATTCTTGTAAAATAATATGTATTTATTGTAAGATACATATTGATGTAATCAGTTAATGGTGCCACCTGTCAAGGATTTTAGAGGGTGGAACAATGATGATTTTAATGGTTTCTCTGTCCAGATCTGTCTACACTTGTAAGATATCCAGACACAATGCATGTCTGACTACCTAAGGAGGTGGGCAGGATGATCTGATCACAATCAGATCACAATGTGTCCTTTGATTGTCTACACCTGTCTAAAATGTGGGCACAATCAGAATGTGGACAAGGTCTCATTAACAAACATCTCACATTTTCATTGATGCAGGAAAGATTATATGACGTTTTGTCCATACAAGCACCCAACAATCTGTATGTAGTCTACTGTAAAGGTCAGGCAGCATGTGTTATTAATGAACTAGAGCTAAGTGGTCTTTGGAGAGCGATGTCAATGACCCCACATACTGTGTTAAACCACATGATCTGGAGGATCCATATGGTGAGGGCAAAGTTCACGGTGAGGATGATGATGAGCAGCAGGACAAACAGGTAGAGGCAGCGCTTCCTCCAACCGTAGATCCCGATCTTATGGATGGAGTCAGGGACCGGGGCAGGGACACTGCTGTCCTGGGTGGTGGTGACATTCTGCTCCCTCACCATCTGCTGGGGAATACACAGGGACATGGAAAGAGGTAGTTTAGATCAATGGACATGTCTGACATCGACTATACATCAACCTGAAGTGGCAGCTCTTTATAATCACCATCATCATGCTTCATCTTATGGAAATTGCCTCATAGCATTAGCAACCATGTACAGTACAATGCCTGTTCTTATGACTCTAAACACCTCCGTCACTAATGATCTGCTGGATATCTGGCCAGAACACGGATGGAAAACTTTAGTATATTTCCGACATCTACTTAAAAATGGCTAACAGTAAGAGAGAGAAAACTCGTCCTCATTCCACTGGCTTTCGTTTTAAGTCCAGACCAAATAGAACTGAACAGAGCGTGATTCTTGGGTTCTATCGGAATGCATGGTCCTATAAATCAACAGTACCAGAGATCTAAATGGCAAAGGCATTGCTGCTTCTTCATATTTATGTCATATAAGAGCAGAGACAACATGAGTCATATATTTCACAAGGATGCGCTGAGAATATAGGCTGTGAGGGCTGAGCACATAGTCATATAGCTTTTTGCCCTACAGGAATGGAGCCAGAGCTGGTATCATATTTAATTTATTAATCAACATTTATACTTTCATTCAAGTCAATGCCTGAAGAAAATGTATTGAGTTGTAGGCAGTAGCTAAATAAAATGCCTTTCACGAACAATGACAATGAAACAAGCCCTTTCACCAAATAATCTCCACACTGAATCCTAGAATCATGTTCAACGCTCCTTGAGTGTCTGTGTAAAGAATACACAGACAAAATGATTAAATGTGACCAATAAAGGTGATACAAATGAATGAATCTGTTCAATTCATTTAATCTCTGTCGACACCAGTGGAGGCTGGTGAGGGGAGGACAGCTCATAGTAATGGCTGGAATGGAGTAGATGGAATGGAATGAAACACTTCTTTCTATTCCATCTACTCCATCACCAGCCATTACTATGAGCCGTCCTCCCCTCACCAGCCTCCAATGGTCGACACCAATACTGCAAAATGCACACATTTAATCAACAAACCATTCCACACAACATAGTTTCTGTATCATCGAAGTTTCCCCAAGATCTGCTGTTTACTTCATACTGACATCTCAACTTGTTGACAAAAACTAAACAAATGGTAAACTGACTGTCTGGTTGATTTGTTTCATGCCAGTCTGGAATGGAGACATAGCAGCTTGGTAGATTTACATATGGACAGATGCTCTGCCTCATTGCAGGAGTAAACATGGTTTCATCATGTTTAAAGATCAACTTTTCATTGTGGACTATAATTCTATCCTGACATGAACAGATGCTAAGCCAGTACAGCACCTCAGTGTAATTTGGCTGGCTCCCAACCAGTAATGTCCACTGTAGCTCAGTTGGTAGAGCATGGCGCTTGCAACGCCAGGGTTGTGGGTTTGTTTCCCACGGGGGGCCAGTATGAAAATGTATGTACTCACTAACTGTAAGTCGCTCTGGATAAGAGCGTCCGCTAAATGACTAAAATGTAAATGTAATGATAAGGTTTACCTGGAGAGGCTGGGGGAGTTAACTGGTAATGTGTGGTACTATTATAGCTCTTTGTTTTTATTATAACTCCTCATTTTTGTTTGTTAAGACATTTGGTATAAAAATAAAGTTTTAAAGTTTTCTGTGGAAAATAAAACTCAAAATGTGTAACCTCCCATTCCAAAAAACTTGCCAAAGGCTTTTCAGATAAATGAATGATTAATTAATATCAACATGTTGCTCCCTCAACTGTATATCTTAGTGACTATATCAAAGGTAAATGGATGAATAGTATACATGCTCCCTGCTTGGGTCCGTCCCCTAGGAAGAGATTTTTCAGAGAAGATGATAAACACCTAGTCATTGTGGATTCAAAAAGCTTTTTTCCTGCTTTACATTTTTATATTTTAGCAGATGCTCTTATCCAGAGCGACTTACAGGAGCAATTAGGGTTAAGTGCCTTGCTCAAGGGCACATCGACAGATTTTTCACCTAGTCGGCTCGGGGATTAGAACCAGCGACCTTTCGGTTACTGGCACAACGCTCTTAACCACTAATCTACCTGCCGCTGTTACCATAAACATGTAAACTTGCAAAGGCAGCAAGCGTGTTGGCATAAAGGATACAGAGTATCTCTCCCCACCAGGATCCACCTCTCCCCAGGAACCTGTCACACTGTCTCCACAGCCCAGCAGTGATAAATAGCCCTTATTTCACAACAACACAAATGATGTAACAAAAATACCTAACCAAAGGATCACCTCGACAAGGGAATTGTGGAAGTAAACCTTGTTGTGTGAAATGCTTATTTTGCATACCAATGTTCTTTGTATTATTAATTTGACTGAGTCATCAGGATAAATCATAATGACAAATTGGATTTCAACAGTTCCCAAAATTGGTTTCCTCTTGACCCGTCTTATAGTGAATACAAACTACATCTGACTGAAAATAACCATGTACACAGGGCTTATACCCTTGCTTTAAAAAACGGCCCCATAGAATATAAATGACAGATGTCCATGTAGTGTGTTGGCAGTAAGAATTTAAGAAAGTGCATACATGTTAAAACAATTACATTTACATCATTTAGCAAATTGTTGCATTCAACTTATGATAGCAAGTGGGACAACCACTTTTTATTTTTTTTCTTCTTTTTTTATTTTTTATTACACTGTAATAATATTTTGTAGAGTGCCTAAAAGTGCCTAAATGAATAATAAAGGTTGAATAACTCTGAAATGTTAATTGAGGTGTTAATGAATCTTCTATACCTAATTAATTTAAAGAGAAGCATTAGGATGTCTACTGCTAAAACAACAGAGGGGGAGCAGCCTGGTGGCTGAAGGTTTTCAGGCTCCAGTTTCAGAGTACCAGCCACAGACCAATCCTATCATAGCAACCCAAATAAACATTCCTTAAACAACCTTGCCACTGGACTGCCATGGAAAGAATCCTCCTCAGCTAATGTGCTATAGGAAACAAAATGCTAGTCATGTCACTTTCACAGAACACAAGCCTAGTAGTTGAACGCAATTCTTTATGAAGCCCGATCACATGAAAGGGTTTTTAAACTAATTTCAAAAGTCCAATAGTCCCAAAAGATTTCACTGTCCTCCTGTGATGAAGAGTATTGAGTTCACCTCATTGACGTTTACCGATGCTTTTTTATCTTGGAGCCCTTGTCCATTAACCTCAAACCAGTGATGCTACTTTTACTGCCCTGTTCTGTCTTCACTCATATGAAGCTAAAGGGCTGTAGCAGTACTGTGTATACTGCTGACTGCCTGTCTAAATCACTAGGGTCTGACTCTAATTGAGATTCCAGGCTTCTCTTAGCACCCCACTTTGACCTGATCAGGCACCAGCAGAACTTAATAGTGAGTTACAAATTACTTTCTCAAATTGTTAGCTGGAGGATATTCACTTATAAAGACTGCTGGGGAAAAAACAATACTCAGAGGAGCTCAGATATGAGCTGTCAGAAAGAAGTCAATTGAAAACCAAGCCCTCTCCGTTCTCTGCTAAGTGTTTTGTCTCTGTCTAAGCTGCTGTGTCCATATCTCCCATCTGCTGTAATGCTTCCACTTCTAAACATAGGGCATAGCATTGGGTTCTACATTTTAAAAGAGCCACAGGACATAACATGAGCAAAACTAATCAATGAACATAAATTATAAATGACATAAAAAAATGTCTGTCTTTCAATATTCTTGACCATGTATGGTAAAATTATTACCAGCACATGAAACAATAATTCTGGGGAAATAAATCCACTTACATTTAAATTGAAGATTCTCTTTCTATGAAAATCACAAATCTAAAATAAAAACAAAGAAGCAAAACAGGACACCAATGTCACCACCAGACACATACAGACATGTCAAAGTTTAGACTGTAAAGACTTGAGTTGAAACACTAGAGCATTCAAAAGCTGCAGATATTCACAGAGCACGGACTCGTACAGTAGCAATGACATTAAGTAGTTAAGAAAGCAGAGCATGTTGCCTACCTTTGTGTGCTGAGACACAGCTTCCTCTCCGGTAGCAAACAGAGCTCCTCTGAAGCAACAGCAGCAAAAGGGGTAGCAGCGGTGGAGCCCTTGCCTCGGATGTGTCAGGCGTTCAACAGCTGCGTGCCATAAATCTAGCCATGGAACTGCCCCAACTAATCACCACGAGACGGCGCTCCCACTTCCTGCATATCCAATGTACCTCTCTCTCTACCTTGGGCTTCCCTTCTGTTGATTATCCTCTCAAATCATGTGTCTCTCTGAGCAGCCACTGCTCATTGATACAGCAGTGTCTGGGACTCTGGGAAATACATTCAAAAGTGTCGACGGGGGAAATCAGTTATCTGGAATCTGATTTGTGCCCGTAGCTTTCATGAATAACAGTGTGTCTGGAAAAGCATGCGCTTGAGTCTAATTTACGAGGCTTCAGTTATAGCTTTGACATGGGAGTTTGGCGGTGGTCTTCTTGACAGCTTCAGTATGACAGGTAGACCTAGTTGATCTTGTGGAGGGCTGTCAGTGACAGAAGAGACAGGCAGACCACATCTTTACAGCATGTATTAAATACTCATGCTAAAATGTTTATTCTATTCTACTACAATTTACATTATGTTACACAGGAGGATGGCGGCACCTTAATTGGGGAGGACGGGCTTGTGGTAATGGTTGGAGCAGTATAAGTGGAATGGTATGAAATACATCAAACACATGGTTTATATGTGTTTGATGCCATTATATTGGCTCCGTTCCAACCATTATGAGCCATCCTCCCTTCAGCAGCCTCCACTGTCATTATTCTTAACTTGTATTATTGGTGTTGCATTGTCTAGAAGGAACCTGCAAGTAAGCATTTCGTTGGACGATATTTACCATGCGTATCCTGTACAAAAGACTAACAAAACTTGTATTGATAGGGGTGTGTTATTGTAGCAGAAGTTGAAATGGAAGCAGTGTGGGGAAGTTATGCATAGAGCTTTGTATAATTTCACTCAACCTTGATTCATCCTACTGTCATATCTGAAGACATGAGAAATTGCTACCAGTGAATACAAACACACAAATGGCTGGGTGCATGTGCTTATCTGTTTTTAGGTAAAATAGATTAATTTAAATGCATGTTTTGGTAATTTGACAATGTGTAAAAAAAAAAATGTGCTCCAGTCCAGAGCTGATGTGGATACTTTTTTTTTTTTTTTTTTTAAACCACCACTCAACACAAAAGTGCCATTTGATCTGATGGTTTAGTTTCAAAATGAACAGATCTGGATAATAAACTAAATGAAAGTTACTCCGGAGTTGGTGAGATAAACAATTACACGTGCATATTGTTACATTTGGCCGCCGTAGCATACATATAGTTATTCATATGAATCAATCACTTATGAAAAGGACTATAATATTTATTTATTTTAAAAGGAAAAATGTTTTTGCTCTCTCCGTGGCAGGATGCCAGAGGACATCATAGTGGCAGATGAGGTTGTGAATCTGTCAGTGTGCGTCCTGCAGCCAGCTCGAGGTAGAGCTGTGCAATGACAAGCGAAAGCATCAATCAGGCTACCCTGCATCTCACACCCTTAGCTTAAGCCCCTAAGCTGAGGCAGACTGCAGAGAAGTTTTAGTTCATACCCTTCAGTTGCCTGTAGCTCTATACATACATCCATTGTTGACTAAAATGGATGAAAGCAGAAACGCATTGGTCCCTTGTTATCTTGGATCCTTGGGACATCCCCGAACCCCCATTGAAGTTGAAATGTAAAAAAGGTTACGGTAGGGTTCCAAGGATCCCGGGTAGCCCTACGAGAAAAGCATTGGAAACAATCCACCTTATATGGAATGCAGGAACATGATCATGGCATGAACTTGGATGTCCTACTGAATTTAATGGGTGACAAAATTAAATACAGCTCAAGTGAAAGCACAAAGGTAGGGTTGGGCAAGTCCCATTACAAAGGGAAGCGTTGATACTAATTGAACACAACACACTAAATGAGGTGTAAACACATCCTCGGCAGGGTGACGCCTCAGCCCGCTCGTCTTCTGTCCCCAAAGCACCATTTTGACAGCGTAATACCACCACAACACTTCAGTTTCATGTTGCACTCCACAGCCCTGTCCTCTCCCACCAGGATGACATTTTCAAACTGATTTGATGTGAGGGCAAGACTGAAAAACAACCAACAGTCAATGGCAGGTTGTGTTATTTGTCCTGGATTTTATTTGCCAATGACAGTCATAATGAAGTTCAAGTGAGTTAAAGTGTTTTTATGCACAGGCAACATTGTTATGTGATATTGTAACCCCAATTTGTTCAAAGTCAAGGTTTGTAGTCCTGTGTGGATTGAATGGCATTACCTTCTGGATATTGCTAGATCAATTGCTGTGTACATTACAATATATCAATTAGAGTTGTCATGAAACAATATGAATGAATCTCTGCCCTACATCTGGAGCTATAAAGTCTCTTCAAAATTATGAGTACACAGACATCAGTGAGAGTAAGATAATACTACAAGGGAAATAAAAAAATTAACGGCAAATGTATCTTTTCAGAATTTTATTCACCTTACATCACACATCTGAATGCAGGAATCACAACCTGAAGAAGACAAGATGGTTTTAGATGTGATTCATAGCAGTAGTCCTCCAACCTGGCCTGTTAACATCAGGTAATATCAGCAACAGTGAATTGCAGTGAGGAATCTTCAGTTCTTTTTAATAGAACGTAGGCTAGTTCCATCAGGCCTACTAGCATAACACATACCGGTTTATGCTTTCTCTTCCTTCTCTGCCTTTGCTGCCTTTGCTGCCTTCTCAGGCTTCTCTGGCTTCTCAGGCTTGTCCGGAACCACAACGCCACCCTCCTCCTCAGGACCCTTGGTGTTACGTGTGTAGATCACCTGCGATCTGTGTTTCGACACCAACTTGATCATGCCTAGAGGGGTGGCAGAATGGAACGTGTCAGTTATTTTGTACAGATATTGAAATTCTATGGTTCCACATTACCAACTGACCCACTCACTGCCCTGACAAGTTAAGACAATATCCACAAGACATGATGCTGAAAGAGCAGACATCAAGTTGCAGTGCCAGTCTTGGTAGTCACTGATCAGTGCCAATGTTTACCAAAACGACAGTATCTTCAAAATCAAATTTTATTGGTCACATATTTAGCAGATGTTATTGTGGGTGAAGCGAAATGCTTGTATCTTCTTCCCCTGAAGGAGGACTTCTGCCGACTGGGGTTAGAAGTGATGTTTTAAAGAGAACAGAACTGATGTACATTAGAAAACATGTTCACTTTGTAGTAAGAGTTGTTGAAATGCTGGCTTAACAGCTTTGTAAAAGTATCTACCAGTTGGCTCTGCGGCAGACCCATGAGAGTCCGTGCCTTGTAGACTCAAACTTCGGGTTCACTGTAGCAAAGCTCAAAATTGAACCAGATAATATTGTAGATAGACATGACAGCGCAGTGAACCAGAAAGGAATCCATACAAAAGGGTGCCTGCCTATTCTGACAAACATGTACTATACGCACTTTCACTACGAGTGAACACTGCTTGAGAATCAGAGTAGGGTTCAGAGTTTACCTTTGCTGAGCAGTTCCTGGAGGGCAGCCCTGGCCAGAGAGCCTCTGATCTTTAGCCTCTCAGACACAACTGCTGGTGTGATGAGCTTGTAGTTGGGCACTTCCTTGTTCAATTTTTCGTAGGTGGCCTTGTCGAAGAGGACCAGGTTGTTGAGCTTATCTCTCACCTTTCCCTTGGACCACTTCTGCTCAGGGGAAATGGAGAGGTTGTTGATGTTGCTCACACTCCTGACAGTTTAACCAGTATGACCACAAAGTAATATCTAAACGCCCCCAAAAAGATCAGGATACGAGGACATACCTTCTTTTTGGCTTTGCCTCCAGATTTGTTGGCTGGATCCTTGTCCTTTTTGGACTTCCCGGAATCCTTCCCCTTCCCTTTGGCGTCCTTAGGAGGCTGGAATAATACAGATCGCAGTACCATTATCCAACTAATGCTGAATTAACCAACACACTTTTACCAAAACTAGCTAACGTTAGCTGGAAATGTTTAAGTGCACTAACTTCTTAACATTAGATAAGAGTAACACGTTGGTTAGCGAATTCAGGTAGCCACGAGTCCCTCAATTGGAATTTAACCAAATATGATGTTAACCTTGAACATTTTAGTGTGACAAATTCAAAACGTTAGATAAGCCTAAGCTAACTAACTAGGGCCTAGCTACATGTTGAAAGCTAACTTGTTAGTCAACAACCGGCTTCAGTTAGGCCAACAGTGGTCTGCAGAGAACTGGCGTGCAGTTTGCATAATCTGATCAATTGATACATTTGTGTGGGAAATGTCGGACTGAGATCTCTACAAAAGGGGCCACGATAGGCAACATGATCTTATGGTCGGCTGATCATGCAGTGCACCATCAGTACTGCCAGCCGCATGTAACGTTAACTAGGAAGCATGGCCAACTGGAATATCAAATGGAGTTATTCCATCCATAACCACGGTCAGGACGCTGCGGACGAATAATATTTTCCAACTACGCATCCGGTTCTATCCAGACTGTCATTTTCCGAGTAAAATGTTTTGTTCGCCATCGAATTTAATGAAAAATCACGCTATGCCCTTACCATGATGTCCCACCGTCAAGATGTCGGAGTGAAAGGACCTTCAACCCGTGAACCAGCCTCTAAGAGAACCCGTACATGCGGATGTTGAAGTACGGTACTGGGTAATGTAGTTATTTTTGCTATCCTTTTTTCTATTTATTGGTTTTAGCATGAATAATAAACAGATCTGCAAAATAAATATAGATGCAATCTTTAAACAAAAAATCATACGAATAAACACGCAGGTAAAGTTACCTCTGTTGAAAATTTTACTTTATTTTGACTCAAATATTTCCTGTCACGTGACAATTTTGTCAGCTGTGCAGAAAAAGGCAAAGATGGCGATATTCAGTGTGTACGTTGTAAATAAGGCTGGGGGATTAATTTACCAGTATGACAATTATGTACCGAGAGCAGAAGCAGAGAAAACATTCAGCTATCCTTTAGATTTGGTTTTAAAGATCCACGATGAGAAAGTTGTTGTATCATTTGGTCAACGTGATGGAATCCGAGGTACAGTAGGTTGTCAGCCACAGTCAAATGATCACATCAATGCTTACAAAAATTATATAGTGATAACTGGTTGTGAATGTCATGGTTGGAACTCAAATGTTGCATTGTGCATGCTTCTATTTATTGTTAACATTGTGCAAGCATTATTCTATTAATGTAGTGGGCCATGCTTTACTGTCCATCAATGGAGTGGATGTCAACGGCAAGTTCACAGCGGACGGGAAGGAGATCGTCGAATACTTGAAAGACTCAACAAACTATCCGGTGTCCATACGGTTCGGAAGGGCTCGTTTGAGTTCCAATGAAAAACTGATGCTGGCTTCAATGTTTCATTCGTAAGTAGTTACAGTTTAAGTGATTACAGCTGTCAGCTTCTAACATTAATAAATCCTTTATGGATGGTGACATTTGCTTTTCCATGATCTTGCTGTATGTTGTGTTGTACTCTTTCCTAGGTTGTTTGCTATTGGTTCACAGCTGTCCCCTGAAGTTGGCAGTTCAGGAATTGAGATGCTGGAGACTGATATGTTTAAACTGCACTGCTTTCAGACACTCACTGGTAAAGCCATGCATTCATACACCGCTATCAGTCACTGTGTGCGATGCCTACATGCAATGCTCTTGGTTTAAAAAACGAAATCTGCCTGTGTCAACTTTTAAAAAATTAGGTGTGAAGTTCATTGTGCTGGCAGACCCCCGTCAGTCTGGCATTGATGCACTCCTCAGGAAGATTTACGAGATCTATTCAGACTTTGCCCTCAAGAACCCCTTCTACTCTCTGGAGATGCCTATCAGGTAACTGTCACATGTCAAATATCTGCTCTCTGTCTCTGTCACAAGTCTTCATCAGTTAGCCAAGTCAGTGATGAGCAACCATGGTGAGATATATTTTTTGCCCTCTCTTGTTACAGGTGTGAACTCTTTGATCAGAATTTGAAGGGTGCATTGGAGATAGCAGAGAAAGCTGGTAACTTTGGACCTGGATCTTGAGCAGGAACAAACCTGATAGATGTGTACCAAGGCAAATCCAGAGGATCAATTGCTCCTGTTTTTCTTTTTTTCTTTTTTTTTTAAACCAATCCATTGAATTGTGTTTGTTGTGACTGGGAAGCTACAGTACATTGCATGTCTCCAAGCAGTGCTGATATTTCAGAACTAATGTTGAATAACTTGTATATGAGAAGGATATGCTATACTGGGATACAATGTAAATACTGAATGTTTTGTTTTTGTACATACTTTATGAATAAATACCACTGTAACATTTTCATAATCTCTAGCCTTTCTTTCCAATGCAATCCTTTAAAAGTAACTAAAATCAACCACAACATAAGGTATTTTATTCAAGTCTTGTCTATTCAAACAGATTACACCCATATAAGAAGACGTGTTCAGTGCCATTAAAAAAAAGTGAACAGAACATTTGACCATAAAGTGTCTTGGTTTCAAATGATTAAATTAAAATCAAACTGACACATTTTCAATATGTGAATCTAGGATCTATTTTATGCCATGAGCATTGAAAATAGATTTAAGTAACACAACATGGTTGATGTACTTGCATCTGAACATTGTCTGAATACATCTTCAGTGAAAATAAATAATCCCTCGCTCAACTCCATGTCTCACCATCTCTTAAAACAAGAATATACAGGACCATGTCTCCCGTCAATTCAATTGAGCCTTTTTCAAATCAAAAACACTTCATAAATAAGAATGTACATTCTTATCCTAAATTTCCCACATTGACAGCAGACAGTTATGAGGTGTAGTGCTCAGTCAGCCTTCTTGGGGACGTGACCCATCTTGGTTCTGATGTTCCTCAGCAGGAAAAAGCTGATGGTAGTGACAAGACAGGTGATCTCTGCTACCCAGAAGGCCATTTCCCATCCATGGTGCTTGGCGATGGTGCTGAACGGCAGTCCAGAGCAGAAGCCACCAACTGAAAACAATACAGGGATGTAAATTCGGCTGGTTCTCATAAATAGGATATATGGATTTAGTTGTTGAACTACCTGTCTGGTACTGCTAGTAAATCCAAGACACCAGAATACTTTACAAAAATTTTTTGAGAAAAGCATTCATTAGAATTTGAGAGAATTTGGTTGAGATAAACTTACTGTTGGCCATTAGGGCAACGATAGCATGTGACGTTCCACAATAGTTTGAAGGAGCACTCTCATTGGCTATCACGCCAAACAAGGCTATTGGTCCATAAGATGAGAAGCCAAATGTAGCCCCCAAGAAGAGGATCCACATCTGAATTTATAACACAAAAAAGAAAAACATGAACTAACAAACATAGACTAATAGTGTATTGGCTGAAATGAGTTTTGAGGAACATAATGTGCTTACTATACCTTTGGGCTGTCTGGCGTGACAGTGACCCGGAATAGATACATGGAACCAAACATCCCAGCCATCATTGAGATCAAGAGAAAATGACGGGGGTTTCCATGGCTTTTCATGCCTTGCTGTACAAAAAGAAATACGGTACCTTACAAACACTGCATTGATTTGTATAGAGCTCTGAATTAATGTATGATGCCACTGTCAACCTACTAGTGCCACAGCCTTGTCAGAGAAGTATCCTGCAGCTAAACTGCCCAAAAGGCCTCCCACCTCCAGGGCACTCATGTAGGAACTGCCTGTGAAAAAGAGCAGCATTCAGGTAAACTTAACAAGAGGCAGTTATTATTGAGTTATCAACAGTAGGCTATTGCATACTAGTAAAACAGGCAGGTTAGCGTTTTACGTCATGAATCTTGTTCTGTAGGCAGCTATGCAGGTCTTAATGTATCAGACTTCCATACCCATGAGTGTTGACTGGCCCTTGTCCTGGATGAGGAAGAGCTGGCCCCAGTCAGTGCAGGCCGTCTTCACCCCGAACACCACCAGGTAGCCCACAGACAGCAGCCACAGGTAGGGGGACAGGATGAACTCTTTGAAGGTGGTCTCATCAATGGATGAGCCTGGTAAGGGAGAGAGGTTTCAGTCACACTAGCACATCACTTAGAGTGTGCATGATCTTGAACTCGTTCACGCTAGCGTGTGAGGGGCACACTGGGTGCAGAGTCCATTCTCACAGAGTGTCACTGACCTTACACACAATTGCCCATGCAGACAATACACAAAAAGGCATGCGTTCAAACGAAAACCTGTGCACGTCACAGTCGCACACATTTTGCAATGTTTCAACCACAGGACAAGATGAGGTTAGGTCCCAGCTCTGACCTGCTTTGCCCTTCTTGGCCCCCCCAGCGTCGATGTTGGGCAAGCCCACGTCTTTGGGCTCGTTCCTGATCAAAAGCAGGCAGACGAAGGAGACCACACAACAGGAGAGGCCTGAGATGGACAGGGTTGTCCTCCAGCTGTAGCTCTGGGCCATCAACGTTGCAATAATGGGGCCTAAACTCCCAGCCAGGTTCATACTGCAGGACAGAATCGCCCACCAGGTCCCAAACTGAGAGGGCTCAAACCACTGAGGGGCAGAAGGGAATGACATATCATAATATCAGACTAGTGATGTGCTGCATGGCTTGACATGACTGGTGTTGAATGGACAGGGATATACAAAATAGTACACTGACTAACCAATCTTTTAACAGTGCAGGCAGTTGATTGATACGTGTCTGACAGCTTCATATCCTGTGGAGTACAGTGTTACTTTGTGGTCCTACCTTGCGCAACACCCTGCCACATGGGGGCCACCCCAGGCCCTGGCCCAGGCCGTTGAGGAACCAGAGGCCAGAGAAAACGGCCACAGTGGAGGACCAGGAGAAGACCACATTGATGGCACCAACCATGAACAGGCCAATGGAGAAGAGCCAGCGGGCGCTGATCTGATCCGAAAGCACCCCGCTGATGAACTTGCTTATAGCATAGGCCAGAGACTGGCTACTAGTGATCATGCCTGAGGGGTAGTACACACAATACAGAGGCAGAACAATGTTTTATTGATTTCGGTACTAATATCAACATACACAAAGCATTAACTGATATCTCCCCATATGATTGTTGCTGGCTTAGAAATGTGGACAGAGAACGATTAAATTAAACCAATCAGTCAGACCACTATCAGCAGTATCTAAACTTTAGTTGTTAATTGTTGTTAGGGACATGAAAGACAGAAACAGAGTAAAATACAATAGTGAGGCTTCTCTTACCCAGGTCATCTTTGTCCAGCTTGATCTCTTGCATGAGAGAGGGCATCACAAAGGAGAAGGTCTTCCTATTGAAGTAGTACAGTGTATAGCCCACAAACATGGCCAGGAAAATTGTGGTGCGGTAGTATCCATACCCTGCGGTTGCCATGGTTTTTGCAGTTTAGAATAAAAGTGCTAAATAAAATAGGATTATAAAACAAAACTACAGAGGAGGGGAAAGGCTCCTCTTGTTCAAGGGTGTAGTACTTCTGCCACCAGTGACTGAACTTTGGTGTCCACAGTGCAGTACAGAGCTGGTTAGAAGAGGGAGAGAGCTGTAATCAATAGTTGGGGTTAATGGTCAACTTCTCTACTCAAAGACTGATTTCCCCTGCCTTATCCGAGTTCTACAAAGGCCAAAGGGAAGAGGCAAGAATGGAATTGACCTACTCAGATGCTGTTATCTCCAGTAACGCTGCTTGTATTGTCCAACAGTCTGTAAAAATTTTTTTAAAGACACTCCTGATTCCTCTTATATATCTTTCTCCCACCTCTTGCTGATCCCGACTGCCCCTCACCTGCCGGTGTGCCTGGATGTTATTGAGTGTTCTTAGTTAATGATTCATTGGAGAGTCCAATGGTGACTGCAAGCCCAGAGGGTGGATCCTCCTCAGCCCAGGGAGTGTGTGAAGAGAGATGACCATCAGCACAAGACACTACCCCATTATCACTGTGGGTTGTTCTGTGTGAAAATGCATAATTAGCTAGGTTTCCATCCAATTAGCAACAGATTTTCATGCAAATATTCTAAAATCCACATAAATGAAAATATGCGCATTTTCCCACCAGTAGTGTTTCCAAACTGACTTGTTGCAGATACAAATCTGTGCGTGATGACGTAGGGCACACAACATATACTTTTTCGCTTACATTTTCATGTACCGAATAAAAATCTATAGTTAAATGTGTTTCCGTTGCATTTTCAATAGCAAAATGTGCCTACTCTGGTCTTTGCACGTGCGTTCTAGCCAACAGCTCGCAGATACAGTGCGGGTAGGCTGTGCGGGTAAACTAGTCTACATTATCAGATTATTATAGCGAGAATATTTGTATTTGTCGAACGGCAGTCAAGCATCGATCATCTTCTGGAATAGGCTAGTGAGAATGGGGTCGTAATTTCAATCACTGAATTAAATATTAATAATATGTATATGACCTGAATATGCTTGTCAACAGCCAGTGTTCTTTTTTGTATTTAAAAAAAAAACCTGTTGCCTAATCTGACTGACTGTTACCGTCAATCTAATGCCTTCTAACAATTGATCGTCAGTTGTGATAGAAATTGATTTGCATTGACTCCAGTGATATAGTCATTTCAACATATTTATTGTATCAAATGGTATCTTACAATGGCATAATTAAAGTTATGGAACTCCCTCGCGTGCTTCTATTATGGGAAAAGTCCTCAATTAAACTGACATTAAATGTGGAGAATGATACATTTGCATCTGTTGGCCATCAAGTAGCATCAAAATAAATAAAGTTGCCAATATTATGTTTATATTTTGTAGTTCAATCATTTTTTTGGTTGTCCCGCTTTACCAACCATAGCAACCGTAGGACAGCATGGAGTAGCTAAAGTGAGACAGTCTTATAGGCTTTTCCAATGGAAAATTGAGATCCAGTTTACATTAGGGATCCTGTACTTAGTTACAGTGCATTCAGAAAGTATTCAGACCCCTTCACCTTTTCCACATTTTGTGACGCTACAGCTGTATTCTAAAATTGATAAAATAAATGTTTTTCCTCATCAATCTAAACACAATACCCCATAATGACAAAGTGAAAACAGGGTTTTAGAAATTTTTGCAAATGTATAAAAAAACAAAAACAGAAAAACCTTATTTACATAAGTATTCAGACCCTTTGCTATGAGACTCGATATTGAGCTCAGTTGCATCCTGTTTCCATTGATCATCCTTGAGATGTTTCTACACCTTGATTGGAGTCCACCTGTGGTAAATTCAATTGATTGGACATGATTTGGAAAGGCACACACCAGCCTATATAAGGTCCCACAGTTAACAGTGCATGTCAGAGCAAAAACCAAGCCATGAGGTCGAAGGAATTGTCCGTAGAGCTCCGAGACAGGATTGTGTCGAGGCACAGATCTGGGGAGGGTAACAAAAAATGTATGCAGCATCGAAGGTCCCCAAGAACACAGTGGCCTCCATCATTCTTAAATGGAAGAAGTTTGGAACCACCAAGACTCTTCCTAGAGCTTGCCGCCTGGCCAAACTGAGCAATCGGGGGAGAAGGGCCTTGGTCAGGGAGGTGACCAAGAACCCAATGGTCACTCTGACAGAGCTCCAGAATTCCTCTGTGAAGATGGGAGAAACTTCCAGAAGGACAACCATCTCTGCAGCACTCCAACAATCAGGCCTTTATGGTAGAGTGACCAGATGGAAGCCACTCCTCAGTAAAAGGCACATGACAGCCCACTTGGAGTTTGCCAAAAGGCACCTAAAGGACTCAGACCATGAGAAACAAGACTCTCTGGTCTGATGAAACCAAGATTGAACTTTTTGGCCTGAATACAAAGCCTCACATCTGGAGGAAACCTGGCACCATCCCTACGGTGAAGCATGGTGGTGGCAGTATCATGCTGTGGGGATGTTTTCAGCGGCAGGGACTGGGAGACCAGTCAGGATTGAGGGAAAGATGAACGGAGCAAAGTACAGAGAGATCCTTGATGAAAACCTGCTTCAGAGCGCTCAGGACCTCAGACTGGGGCGAAGGTTCACCTTCCAACAGGACAACGACCCTAAGTACACAGCCAAGAGAACGCAGGAGTGGCTTCGGGACAAGTCTCTGAATGTCCTTGAGTGGCGCAGACAGAACCCGGACTTGAACCCAATCGAACATCTCTGGAGAGACCTGATTTGTTTAACACTTTTTTGGTTACTACATTATTCCATATGTGTTATTTCATAGTTTTGATGTCTTCACTATTATTCTACAATGTAGAAAATAGTAAAAAAATAAAGAAAACCCCTTGAATGAGTAGGTGTGTCCAAACCTTTGACTGGTACTGTAAGTATTCAAACCACTGAGTCAATACATGTTAGAATCATCTTTGGCAGCTATTACGGCTGTCTGGGTAAATCTCTAAGACCTAGATTGTACAATATTTGCACATGTTTATTTTGAAAATTCTTCAAGCTTTGTCAAGTTGGTTGTTGATCATTGCTAGACAGACATTTTCAAGTCTTGGCATAGAATTTCAAACCTATTTAATTAAACTGTAACTAGGCCACTCAGGAACATTTATGTCATCTTGGTAAGCAACTCCAGTGTATATTTGTCATTGTGTTTTAGGTCATTGTCCTGCTGAAAGGTGAATTTGTCTCCCACTGTCTGTTGGAAAGCAGACTGAACCAGGTTTTCCTCTAGGATTTTGCCTGTGCTTAGCTCTATTCCGTTTCTTTTATCCTAACAAACGCCCTTGTCCTTGCCGATGACAAGCATACCCATAACATGATGCAGCCACCATCATGCTTGAAAATATGAAGAGTGGTACTCAGTGACGTATTGTGTTGGATTTGCCCCAAACATAACACTTTGTATTCAGGACATAAAGTTAATTTCTTTGCCACATTTTTTGCAGTTTTACTTTAGTGCCTTGTTGCAAACAAGATGCATGTTTTGGAATATTTGTATTCTGTACAGGCTTCCTTATTTTCACTTTGTCATTTAGGTTAGTATTGTGGAGTAACTACAATGTTGTTGATTCATCCTCAGTTTTCTCCTATCACAGCCATTACATTCTGTAACTGTTTTAAAGTCACCATTGGCCTCATGGTGAAATCCCTGAGCTGTTTCCTTTCTCTCCGGCAACTGAGTTAGGAAGGACATCTGTATCTTTGTAGTGACTGGGTGTACTGATACACCATCCAAAGTATAATTAATAACTTCAACATGCTCAAAGGGATATTCAATGTCTGTTATTTTTTAAATATATTTTCTACACATCTACCAATAGGTGCCCTTCTTTGCGAGGCATTGGAAAACCTCCCTGGTCTTTGTGGATGAATCTGTGTTTGAAATTCACTGCTCTACTGACAGACCTTACAGATAATTGCATGTGTGGGGTACAGAGATTAAGTAGTAATTCAAAAATTGTTAAACACTATTATTGCACACAGAGTGAGTCCTAGCAACTTATGTGACTTGTTAAGCACAGTTTTACTCCTGACCTGAACTTATTTAGGTTTGCCATAACAAAGGGGTTGCATACTTATTGAATCAAGACATTTCAGCTTTTCATTTTTAAATAATTTGTAAAAAATTCTAAAAACATAATTCCACTTTGACATTATGGGGTATTGTGTGTATGCCAGTGACACAAAATCTAAATGTGTGATGAGGTGTGAATGACGGAGTCAGGCGCAGGAGGTAAAAGACCGAAATCCAGAGTTTATTCAGTGTACATGAATAAAGCGCAGCAAGCGTCAAAACGAAACTAGCACAAGGGAAAAATCCACCTTGGCTACATACAAGGAAAAAGTAATAATAATAATATATGCCATTTAGCAGACAAAAAGTCACTCTCACAATGAACAATCACTCACAAAGGACAAGGGGGCAGAGGGAACACTTATACACAGACTAATGAGGGAATGAGTACCGTGTGTGTGATTGACAAGACAAGACAAGACAAGACAAATGGAGTGATGATAAATGGAGCGGTAATGGCTAGTAAGCCGGTGACGACGAACGCCGAAACCTGCCCGAGCAAGGAGGAGGGGCAGCCTCGGCTGAATTCGTGACAAAATGTAATCTATTTTAAATTCAGGCTGTAACAGAACAAAATGTGGAAAAAGTCAAGCGATGTGAATACATTCTGAAGGCTCTGTACAATACATTTTACTTTTTCCTAAATTGCATGCAGTTTGTTTTCCGCTCTTTACCTCTCTCGTTAGTCAACGTTTCTTGTTAACACAAACTGCCTCCCACTGGGCACACACTGGTTGAATAAACGTTGTTTGCACGTCATTTCAATGACATTACTTGAACCAACATAGGAATAGACGTTGAATTGATTGACGTCTGTGCCCAGTGGGCTATTTCTTTCAATCTCTGTACACCAAGCCCGATATTCAATTCAATAACCACGCCACCACATACATTAACTTTCTATCGAAAATGCCATGAACTACGATTTGTCGTCATGATGGTGTGTTACATAGTTGCTGGGTTGTCTCGTTTACAGAGATTAGGTACTTTGGCGCCACTTAGTGAGCACAAAGTGTGATGCACCACCTCCACCATAGCAACATGCATTGTACATTCTGTATATAATATCGCACATGCTGCATGCGTGTATGCACTGAAACCAAACATTGTTGTATCAAATCACCTCTGATTCACCTTGATAGAAAGTATCCAAGACACGAGATGATTCATCTGTCTGTGTCAAGAAGGCAGGCACAGAGGCCACGTGGACTCTCCCTGTTAAAGATGGGGATTTCCATGGATACACAACAACAAAACACCTTATTTTTAGCGATATGCCAAGCACTTCTCCCATAATAAAGACCGAAAAATAGGTAACTAGGGGCTTCACAACCTTGGATATTCGTTGTGTTTTTATAATGGTGACTTTGCTGTCAATATTTATTTTACCTATTTATTTTGGTTGATGACAGTGGACTATTTCTGACGATCATCATGGTAAGTAGAATCGGAGACAGGCCCACAATCTTGCATGACATAAAAATTACATTCATGACAGTCATATGTAGCTACATGCAGCTAGCAATTATTTGCTGGTTTGTACACACTTTAAATTACTGTATAACTCTACCAGTACCAACACTGTTGACTTTCTCGCAGCCACAGAGTGTAGGGTGTTCATCTAGGCTCTCTGGTAGCTCCCATTCATGTCGCTATCGCACCCGGCCCTCACCTCTCATGTGGATGAGAGCCTCTTTGGAACCCCAAAACAGGTGGGCCATATGTCAGCCATTTCTTTGATCTGCATTAGATAAAACACATAGCAGTAAGATGTGACAATTGAACTGTACAAAGTCTGTGTGTGTGTGTGTGTGAGAGAGAGAGAGAAATAGAGAATTGGTGTAAATGTATGTTGAATTTGTTCACTCAAGGCACTGTCAGCCTGCGATGTCAAGGACACTGAGATGGGTGGCCATTTCAGACCCTGGTGCCAGTCCAGGTCTGCTCCAAGTCAGAAGACTCAGAAACCAGAGACAGTTCGCATAATCACAAAGGACCTCATCCGAGACCTGAACAAGTATCAGTCAATACCTCAATTTCTCATTCGGTTACTTGATGTGATCATCAAGTCTAATGCTTTGTGAACATACCAGTACTACACTTGGCAGTGTTTATTACTGTTTACTTATTATAAAAGAGAATGCTATCCAGTTCCATAAACCGACATTGCACCAATAAACATATCCCACAATCACATTTTACAAGTGGTGGTGAATTACAAAATAAAAACAAATCATGCTGTCATTTTGCCACGATCCCAAGTAAGGATCCGTCTGGGCTGTCTGTCATCGTCCGCCCAACTGTGATCAAGTGGATCGCAACAGCTTCTTGGGTTTCAACCAAGGAGCAGGAGTCCACGTTGGAAGCCCAGAGGAGGGAGAGAGAAGCAGCTATGGTGAGAAAGGACGAATGTACCTGATGAATTTGTAAGCAACCTTTGCCACATGAAAGCTGGGTGACTAACAGCAGTACAGGGTCCCAGCTACAGCACTACACCCTTGTGGAGATGTAACAGCAATACATCAAACTAACCTCTGCACTGTTCCAATGTTGCTGTTTTTCCTGACCAGGATGCTGCTGAGGATAGGAAGGCCCATATCCGCCAGGCTGACCTGTCTCGTCAGAAGAACCAGGGCCTAAGTGAGCTGGAGGCCGAGGCCAAGGAAAGAGCTCAGTACCTGTGGAGAGGGCCAACACCATGAGGATGGAGTAGGAGGACGAGGTCAAGAAACTCAATGAGGTACAGCAAGAGAATCAACCGGTCACTCTCTCATTGCTCACTCTCTCTTTACTTCACTACTCTTTGTTATTTGTTTTATCTCAGCTTCAGTCCCAACATCACTGCAATATCACACATTTCCCCAGTTATTCTACCCATGCCCTGTCCAGACTCTTCCATCTCTGTGTCCTTGTGCGTGTCGTGTATGGTACCTTATTGTTGTGGCCAGTTGATCCTGGATGCACAGTGCCACGCGGTGAGGGATGCCCAGATCCTGGAGAGGCAGCAGACCCTGGCTGAGCTGCAGGAGGAAGAGAGGCGTCTGGATGCCATGATGGAGGTGGACCGCAGGAGAGCCCTGGAGGCCCAGGAGCAGATCGACGAGCTGCGCAAACACCAGAGGATCCAGTGAGGGCACACATGCTCACACACACATACACACCAACACAATGGCCCATTTAAAGCCAAATACACTACATCTCTCTTCCAAACTGTAACGCCTCAGCTGTCTTCCCTGTGTGTGTCTATAGGGGAAAGCAGCTGATTATAAACCAGATTGAGGAGCGTCTGGAGGACAGGATGCTGCAGAATGAGATGAAGGAGCAGGAGGGCCAGCAGATGCTGGAGAACCTGGAGAAGATGCAGATGGATGAGCTGGAGGTATTATTAGTTAGAGACAAGTCTCCTTGTACAGTACAACATTCTTATAGCCAGGCTAATGTATTTCCACTTTGAATTTCAGTTAGAAATTACTCATGAATTAGCCTGGTCTCAGATCTGTTTGTACTCTTGCAACTCTTGCATATCATTAATGAATGAATCGTAATGCAGTTAGGCATAACGAATAATAAACAACATAATGGTGTGGTTGTGATGAGGTGGTGTTGAAGGTGTCAGGCGTAGGAGGGTAAATCACAGAATAACAGGCTTTAATCGGCAAAATACAGGTTTACGCAGAAATGCGTCAAACACACTCCAGGGCACAAAACAGGCGCACTGGAAAATACAAGGCACACGGGAAATACTCCCTTCGATACAAAATACACGAGCACCACCGAGCTTCACTAACCTCCACAATAAACAATCACCCACACAGACAAGGAAGCAGAGGGAACACTTATACAATGAGTAATGAGGGAATAAGGACCAGGTGTGTGTGATTGAAGACAAGACAAATTGAGTGATGATAAATGGATCGGCAGTAGCTAGTAAGCCGGTGACGCTGAACGCCGAAATCTGCCCCAACAAGGAGGGGAGGCAGCCTCGGCGGAAGTCATGACAGTAACCCCCCCCTTGATGCTGGCCTCGGGAACGGCCAGGAGGACGCGGAGCAGGGCGAGCCGGATGTTGACGGTGGAAATCCCGTAACATGGAGGGATCGAGGATATCCCTCACCGGGACCCAGCACCGTTGCTCCGGACCGTAACCCTCCCACTCCACGAGGTACTGAAGGCCCCCCACCCGACGCCTCGAATCCAGGATGGAACGGACAGAGTACGCCGGAGGCCCCCTCGATGTCCAGAGGAGGTGGAGGGACCTCCCGCACCTCAGACTCCTGGAGCAGACCAGCTACCACCGGCCTGAGGAGAGACACATGAAACGAGGGGTTAATACGGTAATCAGGGGGAAGTAATAACCTATAAGTGACCTCGTTGACTCTCCTCAGGACTTTGAACAGCCCCACAAACCACGGGCTCAGCTTCCGGCAGGGCAGGCGGAGGAGCAGATTCCGGGTCGAGAGCCAGACCCGATCCCCCGGTACAAAGACGGGGGCCTCACTGTGGTGGCGGTCAGCGTTGGCCTTCTGACGACGCACGGTGCGTTGGAGGTGAACGTGGGCAGCATCCCACGTCTCCTCCTCGCACCCGAAACCAGTCATCCACCACAGGAGCCTCGGTCTGGCTCTGGTGCCACGGTGCCAGAACCGGTTGGTAACCTAGAACACACTGGAAAGCCGTTAGGTTAGTGGAGGAGTGGCGGAGAGAGTTCTGGGCATATTCTGCCCATGGCAAGAACACCGACCACTCCCCCAGCCGGTCCTGGCAGTAGGACCGCAGGAACCTACCCACGTCCTGATTTACCCGTTCCACCTGCCCATTACTCTTGGGGTGGAACCCAGAGGTCAGGCTGACCGAGACCCCCAGATGTTCCACTGAAAACACTGCTACTCCTGCTGCTCTCTCCTCGTCTGACCATGTGTTCTCGCATACCCCGAGAGCATCTGGTCAGCGGGGTGGTGGCACAGGAATCCTCATCTCTCCCAAGTGGACATTCTCAATTTTTCCCCTGACCCATCTGTCTATCTCCTCATTTGAATTACATGCTGTCACAGTCACTAGCCCATTTAAGCTTAATATCCTTGTCATCTATCGCCCTCCAGGTTCCCTTGGAGAGTTCATCAATGAGCTTGACGCCTTGATAAGTTCTTTCCTGAGGATGGCTCACCCCTCACAGTTCTGGGGGATTTCAACCTCCCTACGTCTACATTTGACTAATTTCTCTCTGCCTCCTTCTTTCCACTCCTCTCCTCTTTTGACCTCACCCTCTCACCGTCCCCCCCTACTCACAAGGCAGGCAATACGCTTGACCTCATCTTCACTAGATGCTGTTCTTCTACTAATCTCACTGCAACTCCCCTCCAAGTCTCCGACCACTACTTTGTATCCCTTTCTCTCTCCCTCTCCTCCAACACTACTCACTCTGCCCCTACACAGATGGTAATGCGCCGTCGCAACCTTCGCTCTCTCTCTCCCGCTACTCTCTCCTCTTCCATCCAATCATCTCTTCCCTCTGCTCAATCCTTCTCCCTCCAATCTCCTGATTCTGCCTCCTCAACCCTCCTCTCCTCCCTTTCTGCATCCTTTGACTCTCTATGTCCCCTGTCCTCCCCTCCAGCTCCGTGGCTTGATGACTCATTGCGAGCTCACAGAACAGGGCTCCGGGCAGCCGAGCGGAAATGGAAGAAAACTAGACTCCCTGCGGACCTGGCATTTTTTCACTCCCTCCTCTCTACATTCTCTTCATCTGTTTCTGCTGCTAAGGCCACTTTCTACCACTCTAAATTCCAAGCATCCGCCTCTAACCCTAGGAAGCTCTTTGCCACATTCTCCTCCCTGCTGAATCCCCCCCCCCCCACCCCCCTCCTCCCTCTCTGTGGATGACTTCGTCAACCATTTTGAAAAGAAGGTTGACGACATCCGATCCTCGTTTGTTAAGTCAAATGACACTGCTGGTCCTGCTCACGCTGCCCTACCCTATGCTTTGACTTCTTTCTCCCCTCTCTCTCCAGATAAAATCTTGCGACTTGTGACGGCAGGCCGCCCAACAACCTGCCCGCTTGACCCTATCCCCTCCTCTCTTCTCCAGACCATCTCCGGTGACCTTCTCCCTTACCTCACCTCGCTGATCAACTCATCCTTGACCGCTGGCTATGTCCCTTCCGTCTTCAAGAGAGCGAGAGTTGCACCCCTTCTCAAAAAACCAACACTCGATCCCTCTGATGTCAACAACTACAGACCAGTATCCCTTCTTTCTTTTCTCTCCAAAACTATTGAGCGTGCCGTCTTTAGCCAACTCTCTTGCTATCTCTCTCAGAATGACCTTCTTGATCCAAACCAGTCAGGTTTCAAGACTGGTCATTCAACTGAGACTGCTCTTCTCTGTGTCACGGAGGCTCTCCGCACTGCTAAAGCTAACTCTCTCTCCTCTGCTCTTGTCCTTCTAGACCTGTCTGCTGCCTTTGATACTGTGAACCATCAGATCCTCCTCTCCACCCTCTCCGAGCTGGGCATCTCCGGCGCGGCTCACTCTTGGATTGCGTCCTACCTGACCGGTCGCTCCTACCAAGTGGCGTGGCGAGAAGCTGTCTCCGCACCACGTGCTCTCACCACTGGTGTCCCCCAGGGCTCAGTTCTAGGCCCTCTTCTATTCTCGCTATACACCAAGTCACTTGGCACTGTCATATCCTCACATGGCCTCTCCTATCATTGCTACGCTGACGACACACAACTAATCTTCTCCTTTCCCCCTTCTGATAACCAGGTGGCGAATCGCATCTCTGCATGTCTGGCAGACATATCAGTATGGATGACGGATCACCACCTCAAGCTGAACCTCGGCAAGACGGAGCTGCTCTTCCTCCCGGGGAAGGACTGCCCGTTCCATGATCTCGCCATCACGGTTGACAACTCCGTTGTGTCCTCGTCCCAGAGTGCGAAGAGCCTTGGCGTGACCCTGGACAACACCCTGTCGTTCTCCGCTAACATCAAGGCGGTGACCCGATCCTGTAGGTTCATGCTCTACAACATTCGGAGAGTACGACCCTGCCTTACACAGGAAGCGGCACAGGTCCTAATCCAGGCACTTGTCATCTCCCGTCTGGATTACTGCAACTCGCTGTTGGCTGGGCTCCCTGCCTGTGCCATTAAACCCCTACAACTCATCCAGAATGCCGCAGCCCGTCTGGTGTTCAACCTTCCCAAGTTCTCTCACGTCACCCCGCTCCTCCACACACTCCACTGGCTTCCAGTTGAAGCTCGCATCTGCTACAAGACCATGGTGCTTGCCTACGGAGCTGTGAGGGGAACGGCACCTCCGTACCTTCAGGCTCTGATCAGTCCCTACACCCAAACGAGGGCACTGCGTTCATCCACCTCTGGCCTGCTGGCTCCCCTACCTCTGCGGAAGCATAGTTCCCGCTCAGCCCAGTCAAAACTGTTCGCTGCTCTGGCACCCCAATGGTGGAACAAGCTCCCTCACGACGCCAGGACAGCGGAGTCACTCACCACCTTCCGGAGACATTTGAAACCCCACCTCTTTAAGGAATACCTGGGATAGGATAAAGTAATCCTTCTACCCCCCCCCCCCCCCTTTACTCCAACCCACCCCCCCCCCCCCCCAAAAAAAAAAAAAAAAAACATTGTAAAGTGGTTATCCCACTGGCTATAAGGTGAATGCACCTATTTGTAAGTCGCTCTGGATAAGAGCGTCTGCTAAATGACGTAAATGTAAATGTAATGTTCCATGAACGCCTTCCAGACCTTGGACGTGAACTGGGGACCTCGGTCAGACACTATATCCTCTGGTACCCCGAAGTGCCGGAAGATGTGTGTAAACAGGGCCTCCACAGTTTGTAGAGCCGTGGAAGAGACCGGGCAGAGGAAGGAGGCGGCAGGCTTTAGAAAAGCGGTCCACAACGACCAGGATAGTGGTGTTACCTTGGGAGAGGGGAAGATCAGTTAGAAAATCAACACTTAGGTGAGACCATGGTCGTTGTGGAACTGGTAAAGGTTGTAACTTACCAGCTGGGAGGTGCCTATGTGCCTTACTCTGGGCGCACACTGAGCAGGAGGAGACATACACCCTCACGTCCTTAGCCAAGGTAGGCCACCAGTATTTTCCGGTCAGGCAGCGCACTCTACGGCCGATACCTGGGTGACCAGAGGAGGGTGACGTGTGTGCCCAGTAGATCAGACGATCATGGATAAGAGCAGGCATGTACTGTAGCCCATCTGGACACTGTGGTGGAGAGGGATCCGTGCATAATGCATAATGCGCCACAATGCAGGAGGCCGGCAGTATGGGGGTGTTGTTGCTGGGCCTCTCCTCTGTGTCATACAGCCGGGACAGTGCGTCTGCCTTCACGTTCTTCGTACCTGGGATGTATGATAGAGTGAAATCAAACCGGGTGAAGAATAGGGCCTGCCTGGCGAGGATTCAGCCTTCTCGCTGCCTGGATGTACTCCAGGTTATGGTGGTCCGTCCAGACGAGGAAAGAGTGTTTCGCCCCCTCGAGCAAATGCCTCCACCCTGTCAAGGCTCGGACAACAGCCAACAGCTTCTGATCACCAACGCCGTAGTTCTGCTCCGCCGGGCTGAGCTTCTTCGAGAAGAACGTACAGGGGCGGAGCTTAGGTGGCTTACCTGAGCGTTGAGACAGGACAGCTCCTATCCCAACCTCGGAATCATCCACCTCCACTACGAACGGTAGTGATGAATCGGGGTGGGCCAGTACAGTTTGCTGAAGGCCAGGTCAGCCTAAGCAGACCAGCGGAGCCGGGACGGCCCACCCTTCAACAGGGAGGTAATGGGAGCTGCGACCTTGCCAAAAGCCAAGGAAGCACTGCACCTCCTTAACCGTGGTTGTAGTCTGCCAATTACGCACGTCTGAAATGCGATCTCCCTCCATCTCCACACCTGAGGTGGTAATGCGGTATCCGAGGAAGGAGACAGACTGCTGGAAAAACATACACTTCTCTGCCTTAGCATAAAGGTAATTTTCCGACAGTCGGGCCAGCACCTTGCGAACCAGGGACACATGCTCGGCGCGCGTAGCGGAATACACCAGGATGTAATCGATGTAGACCACTACACCGCGACCAAGCATGTCCCGAAACACCTCATTCACAAAGGACTGGCAAAACTGAGGGAGCATTCATCAAACCACAGGACATCACCAGGTATTCATAATGCCCTGTGGTTGTGCTGAATGCTGTCTTCCACTCATCTCCCTCTCGGATACGTACCAGGTTGTACGCACTCCTGAGATCTAATTTGGTGAAGAAGTGCGCCCCATGCATTGATTCAATCACTGAAGGAATGAGGGGGAGAGGATAACTAAATCTTATCGTCTCCCTGTTCAGTGGTCAATAATCAATGCACGGGCGCAGACCTCCGTCCTTCTTCACAAAGAAGAAACTCGAGGAGGCAGGTGAAGTGGAGGGACGTATACATCCGCCTCAATGAGATCAAGGAGAAGAATCTCAGGGAGCTCAAGTAAGTACAGGGACTGGGTGGGGACTAGCTATTTACAGGGACAAGGTGGTACGTAGAATTGAGGGGAACTGAGAGGATATTACATGAAAGCAACAGTAAACCAGGTGGCTTTGTTTTGGATGGTCAGGTTTAGAGTTTTGTAATTCATGTTTGATCATTTTACTTGTAGGGCTGCTGGACTTCCAGAGAAGTATTGCAATGAAGTGGAGAGAAGGGTGCATGCTCTCCCTGCTCTGGCTCACTAGCATGACTGACATACTACAACACAACCCCTGATCTTTATCAAAGACTTCGCACTTTCTGACAGGGTAGAAAGGAGAAAATAATTGGTACAAGGTAGAAATCTAGTCTAGCGCGTTTGTATTAGTGATCATTAGATAATTTCTGAATAAAGATGACTGTATACATTAAACTATGAAAGTTTTTAATTGTACTGTAGGCGTGACCTGAAGTAGTGCACATGAACTATTCAACAACTGATTGAAGTAAAAATAAAAATTGATTATTTGACTTAAATGTGATGTGAAAATGCAAATTCTGTTATGCCATGTCTTTTTTGTAGGATAAATAATTGGACTGTGCCTAACAGATTCCAGTCATACAGGACCCAAGATTCCTTTAGCTACAGGATATAATTTCCTCTATATGGCAATGTTGTATTGTTAATATGCATGATAATAGAAAGTTATGTTCAGAGATTAGGATGACACTTTACACACACAGCTCAAAAGCACTTTGGGAATACATCGAGGTAAATACAGGCTTTTATTTCAGACCATTCTTGACAAAGAACTGTATGCTGTAGTACTGAGATCTAATTCGTCATAATAACCATCGAAATACATAACCTACAGGAGTGTTACTGATCTAAACAAGTTGACATTAGGACACCAAAGGAGCACAGACCTGTCCTCCAGTTCTCAGAGCCAATCGCACTGACCGAACCAAACGGGACAGGGCTGTGGAGGAGGACGAGCCCGATCTCCACTTTTTTAAACGATCGTTCTTATGTACACACAAAAATATGGTGACCTACAACACCACAACACCTGGCATACACAGACCTCAGCACAAAGAGGGTGGTGAGTAAATACACACGTACAGGTCTGAAGTCAGCCTTCGATCCCCCTGCACATACACGGACACAGTCTCACACACAAGCACTGTACACAGCACAACAGAAGGTCACCTAGATTAAAACACACGGAGCCAACAAAGGAGGACTAACATCTACTGGGGTTGACTGGAGAGCCAGTATTGGGCGAGGGGGATTAAAATTCTTATTTAGATCATTAGATCACAAACATACACTCACACTCAGATACATACATCTATGCATTTAAAACTCCATAAAGCTACACGCCTGTGCAGAATATACTATTGTTACTTAGTGTTGCTAGCTATAGCCATTGTAGTGGCAATATATGTTCAAATATTATATGTAACCTTTTTTCAGAATATACAATAATGAAATGCATTATACAGACAGACAATGTAAGCTGTTCAGCACATCAAAATTAAGAGTTTCTATTAGTTCCTTCTCACGACAGTGCAAATCAGATGCCCAAACTACTTCAAAAGGTTACTTGCTTCTTTCTAAAGTCCACTTACATAACATAAACCCATTAAAAAAACATCACACACAAAAATCATCATTATAGTAAATGTTCAGTAGTCATAAATATGGAATGTGAAGAGAAAATGGTCAAATTTCTGTTCAAAACAATACAAATAAAAAGTCATTCATTGCAGTTAAGGGAGAGCAGAATAAAAATAATTTAATGAACGCAGGTTTGCTTGATGTTTATTCTGTGAATAGAAGAGCATGGTAAGTTGGTGAGGAACACAAGGAGAGACAAACAGGTGACTCAGGGGTCGGGGGTGGTGGGCGTTCACATGCCGTAGCCAAAGCCAGGCTGGGGAGGCTGGCCATAACCGGCGGGTGCTGCTGGGTAGCCGTAACCTCCGTAGCCAGGCTGGGAGGGCACGGCCTGACCAGGGCCTGAAGTGAGCATGAGCTGGGGCGTGCCTGCAACACAAACACGGAGGACACTAGCATGAGATCATGACAAAACTACTAACACAAACACTCTAAAGGGTTAACATTGCCTATGTGCTAAAACTACAAAGCAAAGCATAATAAGCTCAATTTTAACATATTCAACCAATAGAGGGGCAGGGTTATGTAGAGGTCAGGTCGTCGTACCATAAACAATGGGCTGGGACTCTGTGTTCTGCTCCTCCTGTTTCCTTAGAGACTCGGAGGCATCAAGCTTGTCGACCTGAGAGGCAGGCAGAGAGGTGAGCATGTTAACCACAGACACAACCAGCAAGGGGAGCTCTAATGAGACGCCCTTATAACTGACCTCTGGGTTATTTCACTGGCTGGCCGATGGGACCATTCCTGACAGGCAGAGACGAATAAAGTCAAGATTAAAACAGGCCGCAAGAGGCAGGCCATGCTACGGGTGTGGGAGGGTTTTTTAGTCAGGCACTGTCACTAGTGGCTACTGGTGTTACTAGCTACCAAGCTTGACCAGCATTAGGGTTGTAAATGAGTCTAATTTCAGATTAGATACACACAGCTAGGCCTAAACAAAACATGTATAATGGTCCCACCATCCAGCCACTAGATGCATCTATTTCCATGTGTTTGGACTGTATGTAGAGAACCAAACCCATTTCAACAGCTCTAATATGGGCCAACATCACAGAAACTGAACTACCAGGGATTACAAGCACTACCACAATGCTAACACTAACAATAAACATTCCCTGCCATAAAGTACAACAAACAGATACAATGAATCAACTGGAAACCACAATAATAAAAATGCTCTAAACGGAAAGATTATATTTATATTAAATTGTCAACCAGCAAATATGGCACATCTTTATCATGTCGGTCCTCTTGATTAGTTGTTAAGCATCTCAGAGCAGGAATTGTAAAAGACAAGACTGATAATTCACAGGATCAAGCAAGCAGCATCTTGAATATACAGTGGGGAAAAAAGTATTTAGTCAGCCACCAATTGTGCAAGTTCTCCCACTTAAAAAGATGAGAGAGGCCTGTACATTTTCATCATAGGTACACGTCAACTATGACAGACAAAATTAGATGAAAAAAAATCCAGAAAATCACATTGTAGGATTTTTAATGAATTTATTTGCAAATTAAGGTGGAAAATAAGTATTTGGTCAATAACAAAAGTTTCTCAATACTTTGTTATATACCCTTTGTTGGCATTGACACAGATCAAACATTTTCTGTAAGTCTTCACAAGGTTGTCACACACTGTTGCTGGTATTTTGGCCCATTCCTCCATGCAGATCTCCTCTAGAGCAGTGATGTTTTGGGGCTGTCGCTGGGCAACACGGACTTTCAACTCCCTCCAAAGATTTTCTATGGGGTTGAGATCTGGAGACTGGCTAGGCCACTCCAGGACCTTGAAATGCTTCTTACGAAGCCACTCCTTCGTTGCCCGGGCGGTGTGTTTGGGATCATTGTCATGCTGAAAGACCCAGCCACGTTTCATCTTCAATGCCCTTGCTGATGGAAGGAGGTTTTCACTCAAAATCTCACGATACATGGCCCCATTCATTCTTTCCTTTACACGGATCAGTCGTCCTGGTCCCTTTGCAGAAAAACAGCCCCAAAGCATGATGTTTCCACCCCCATGCTTCACAGTAGGTATGGTGTTCTTTGGATGCAACTCAGCATTCTTTGTCCTCCAAACACGACGAGTTGAGTTTTTACCAAAAAGTTCTATTTTGGTTTCATCTGACCATATGACATTCTCCCAATCCTCTTCTGGATCATCCAAATGCACTCTAGCAAACTTCAGACGGGCCTGGACATGTACTGGCTTAAGCAGGGGGACACGTCTGGCACTGCAGGATTTGAGTCCCTGGCGGCGTAGTGTGTTACTGATGGTAGGCTTTGTTACTTTGGTCCCAGCTCTCTGCAGGTCATTCACTAGGTCCCCCTGTGTGGTTCTGGGATTTTTGCTCACCGTTCTTGTAATCATTTTGACCCCACGGGGTGAGATCTTGCGTGGAGCCCCAGATCGAGGGAGATTATCAGTGGTTTGTATGTCTTCCATTTCCTAATAATTGCTCCCACAGTTGATTTCTTCAAACAAAGCTGCTTACCTATTGCAGATTCAGTCTTCCCAGCCTGGTGCAGGTCTACAATTTTGTTTCTGGTGTCCTTTGACAGCTCTTTGGTCTTGGCCATAGTGGAGTTTGGAGTGTGACTGTTTGAGGTTGTGGACAGGTGTCTTTTATACTGATAACAAGTTCAAACAGGTGCCATTAATACAGGTAACGAGTGGAGGACAGAGGAGCCTCTTAAAGAAGAAGTTACAGGTCTGTGAGAGCCAGAAATCTTGCTTGTTTGTAGGTGACCAAATACTTATTTTCCACCATAATAAAAAATAAATTCATTAAAAATCCTACAATGTGATTTTCTGGAATTTTTTTCTCTCAATTTGTCTGTCATAGTTGATGTGTACCTATGATGAAAATTACAGGCATCTCTCATCTTTTTAAGTGGGAGAACTTGCACAATTCGTGGCTGACTAAATACTTTTTTTACCCACTGTAAGTGAAATACACAACCTATGCATCCTGAAAATTCACAATATCACTTCAACAAAACCATGATAAGTCATCTATGAATTTACTTCTCTCCTGTCAGATCACAACGTAGGGTTCAGTTCTCTACATACCTGCTGTCTGGCAAAACAGAGTCAATACGTTGTTTTAAGATACAGGTAAACAGGCTGTTGGTTCATTGAAGGGGAAAGAGACATGCTGAAGCAGCAGTAAGGTTCATTTCTCTGTTTAGAAGAGTGCATGAGAGAGGCAGAGAGCCACAGTGGAGGGAGTGAGAGGATGGAGGGATGGTTTGTACGGCCAGTCAAGGCGTCCAGAAGCAGGCACAGCCAACAACGATGTCTCCTAGCCTGTCCAAAGTGCTGCTAATGCTATGGAGGGGTAAACACATGCTTGCCCTGAACACTACAAATACGTTACACGCTTTCCACACACAGTACCCTGCTTGTCATTGAAGAGACCACACTTTACAGTTCTGGAATAGCAAAGAAACTACAGTGCAACTACCGTAATTTTCGGACTATAAGCCGCGTCTTTTTCCCAATTTTTCGACCCTGCGGCTTATATAACGGTGCGGCTAATCTATGGATTTTTACAGCTAACGGCCACTAGAAGACCTCCTAAATCTATGGATTTTACAGGTTACAGTCCACCAACTTTAACTCTATAGGGCTCTATGACCGGTCCGCGCCCCCCACCTTTAAGCGGCGGGCTCCAGCAGGAAAAGCTGGAGGCCGGAAAAGAGTGAGACAGGTTGCGCGCAAAAGTAAAAGTGGAACCGAGAGTGGTACGAGAGACAGAACGAGAGACCGAACGAGAGCAAGACAGACAGACATTACGAGAGCGAGACAGTTTGTGCAAAGGAAGTTTTCAAGCAGCCATCTCTTTCCCGACAATCCCCTCTGTGCACGAACCCTTACATATGGTAATT